TAATTTCAAAATGTCCAACAGTGGAATGTACTAAAAACATTCTTTGCTCCCCATCGAGTCAACACCTAGGACATACTCAACCGGTTTTATTTAATTCACTTTTTTATGCAGTACTTACCAAGTATATGGAGTGGTGCTAACAGCACTGAAGCAATCTTCAATGAAATCAGTATCCTTCAAAAAGGAAAACAGTGGGTTCCTGTTGTGTATATTAAACCTATCAAGATATTTACTATAGATGTCCTTATAACTACGATGGAAAAAACGTAAAAGGTCTTCAACTTCACTTATTACTTCTGTTTGCACAGTTCTCTGAACCACATGCTTTTCTACAAGTTTTTCTTGAAGGAAAACAAAGCCAATAGCTTTGAAGAGTTTTGGTAAGCTTTTCTACAAACTGAGAAATTGACACTCCACAGTTCTTCTGAGTCAGTTGGTGTCTCTTTAACGTATCTTTGTTACCTCATTCTCACAATTGTATGATTGTCATAAATAATTTTCTAAGAACTTAACTCGAGAAAAAATATAGATATTCTGTCGTTAATATGTTCTATATGTTGCTGTTCATTTGTTAAAACAAATCAGAATTTTAAATCGCAATATTTAATGTGTCAGACACAAAATCGATTAATAAAAAAAAATGAACTAATTAATATTAATCTGACTAGTTAATGGCTGATATCCGTTTAATAAGTTTCAGTTGGCAAAATTAACCGAAATTAGCATCCCTAACAAAATGCTACTGGTTTATTCCTGGTTACCACTGTGCTGTTTGCAATCTCCTCTATTTTCCAACTGAGCTCCTGATTTGAAGTGTCACTAGGATCAATCGCCTCAATGTTGATTCCTGGCTCAGGTTCAATTGGTGACTGGTACAGAGGTGCTGATTCCTGTGTAGGTAATTGTTATTATTACACATTATTAACACCACAACACAATGTGCATTGAAATATTATGTAAAGCAAACAAACCTGATATAATTCTGCAAATGGCAAAACCTACAGCCTATTTTAGCCAAGAGTTGCTTTAAGTCTTCTACAAATGCAACCAGAAATATCTTTATCTTCTTACCTCTGTCAGCCTTTGCTAGCTTGTATCAATTAAACTTAAGTTAACATCTGGGAAACTTTGACAGATAAATAGTTTTAAGTCTGCTAAGCTCCAGTTCATTTCGATTTTGACCTATATTTCTTAAACTCCAAAAGCATTTGCTCTTGGGATGAATGGAATACAAAAGCCATTCCACCACATCAAGGTGGCAATCCTTGATGGGGAATTCTTTCAAAGACAGCCCCTCTACTGGTGCTTCTGGCCTCAAAGCACCTCCACTTCACCATCCTTCACCCGTAACACCTCCTTTCTTGGGCAGTGGGATGTCCTGCCTTAGGTTACAAATACTCCAAGTCTGTAACCTTTGCAAATACATCAGAGGTCCCGATTGTAAGTTATTTGTCATTACATAGAAAGCCACTCCACCACATTCCTGGTAGCCAGATGTGCATAGTTTAGTGTAGGATGCCTGTCTGTTGTTTGTACATGATGTATTTATCTAAATTGAGATGCTCAGGAAATTGAGCCAGACAGGTGTGCATCAGTGCAAGACACAAAACATCAGCCAAGAGAAGCTCATGGTAGCATTTTACATTTTCATTATGAAACTGCATTCCCTCTGTGTTACGCTGAATAATTTTAAGGGCTGAACTTAGCTTTGGATCTTGTAAAATGTGTAGAAGGGACTGAACATCGTGAAAGTCTACTTTAACTTATTTTAGGATTGCAGAAAATGTTCTTTTCGTAATCCAGTAAGTGATGTTGTTCTACTGTGTGCAATGTATGCGATGCCTGGTTCAAATATGTTCTTTAGAGGAACAACAGCACAATCGGTCCTCATTTCTTGAACTTTGTGGATGGTGCATGCAAAAGCAAGCTTCAAGGGAAACTGTCTTTGAACTGTTCCTTTTCAGTGGCTCATCTGACATCTCTGTATAGTCACGCTATCCGCATGCAGACTGATTAATTTTACAAATGAAACACCATCTGTGTTAATCTGGGTATGTAAAACCGTTAATCAGTCCATCTTCCACATTGACATTTCTGGTAAGCTCTACTATTGCACAAACAGAAACTTGTACTGTGTTAATTGACGTCACCTCTTTCTCCTTTAAATAGTCCTACTTGTCTTTTCAGTTTCCCTGTTCTAGGATCTTTTATTGTAATCATGTTCATTGATGTTTATTATATTCAAGAAACGAGATAGTCGTCTGCTGCATTGTGATTATCTACCTCTTTATTGGTTGCATAAATGTGTAATGCATCAGATCGGCACTCTTGTGTACATCAGTGAGCCTCTCATGCTTTTGTTTCACTCTCAGCGTGTTGAGCAGCTCAGTATATGAAAAATTGTCTCGCTGTCTCATTACAGACATCCCAAGTTGAAAAAAGTCATTTCTGGCGTATCTGAAGAGCGGTGGGGAGGTGTACTCATGACGTACCTCAAGAGATGGGAGGGATGCGGTGGAGAGGGGTGTGCAACGCATTTAAAGACCAGGGGGGAGACGGGATTTCCGGGAGATTATCATTCGTTTGCGGGCATCGTGAGTCTCTATGCATTTGCAGGAGACTCCTGGAAGTTCCGGGAGACTTGGGATGTCTGTCATTATCTGTGTTTATGCTATCATGTGAAATTAATTTTTCCAGAAGTCTGGCATGTGGACCTCATCCACACAGTGTTTTTGCCCTTGCTGTGGGCGGCAGCTGTTGGAAGTCTCACACCACTAAGACAGATACCCCACCAAAGGGTTTCTGATTTCCTTTAATCTGTTGCAGTCTCCAGGCTTACAGCCACAGTTCCTCACGGCCGTGTCAATTATTGAGTCAGAGTATATGGACCACTCGGTTTCGATGTCTCCAGCCTCCCTTGGGATTTGATCAGAGCGCTTCCAGAGGTGAGAGTTGTTTGGCTCTGCCAGGTCTGTCTAGATGGCACATGGCGGCTGAAGCCCAGGGCTGGACGATATGGCAAAAATTTATATCAAAATAAATTTCTTCATTTCGGTCGATATATTTCCAAAATGGAAAGTATTAAAAAGCCAGGAAAAAAAACGCCAAGAACGCACACAATGGATGTCTGTACCTACAAATGTCTGCAAACTGAATTTGCAAAGTCAAAAAAATTCACTTTTGTATTTAGCCTTTACAAACAAGAAATGTAAAAAAAAAAAAATCAGCTTGACCAACTTGATGAACAGAATTTTTTAGCAGCATTTTTTTTATACTGAATATTTAACAATCAAAAAATATTAAAAATCTTACAATTATGACATCCTCATTGTAAAAAAATAATAATAATATTAATTATAATACAAAAAATAAAAAAGGGTATAGTCAACATTAATATTTGCAATAGAAAAGAGTAGTTTGAGTTTTGAGTTTTTATTCATACTCTGGTTGCTTTTTATCTTGAATACCCTTTAAGGGTTCTATCTGTGTATTTATATTTGTGTCTTTAATAACCTAATTTAAATTAAAAGGTTCAACATAAAATATTTTTTTATATATATTTTATGTAGTCTATTTATTTACAGGTTGTCATTGTTCAAAACCTAACCAATGTGAATATAAAACCAAATTCACCTCAGTAAAGCAGGCTAGGTGGAATAGCACTATTTACTGATGTTTTGTTGTTAAACTACATAAAATCTACATTATCGGTGCTTTAAAAGGTTTTTTATAGAATTATTATTTATTATTAGAATTCAAAACAGAACAAAAGTAGGATTCTGTAGTGTTTTACCCAGCTGTTAAACTCCCTTCATGCTTATCCCTGTGTTTATGAGGCACCGAATTCTGTATCAGTGCACGAGAGAGGCCGTGTTCACTTCGCTCCGAGCTGAACTAAGGCCGTACTTACACTAGGTATAGTTGCCTCGAACCGGGCCAAAGCACGCTTGTCCCCCCTCCCGTCTCTGTCGACAGCCCGCACTCACACCACAATCAGGCCTGGGCACGCTAACGTCATTGCTGCTGTGCTGTTCAGTGAGAAGCGCTCTCTCACTCAGCAGCACAGTGGAGATTTCTCTAGTTATATCGTGTCAGTCGTTTGATATACAGTGACATGCAGTCAGATATTTCGCCAAACAGTCCTTAGGGATGCGGTGACACGCAGTCAGATAGATCCGCCACTTTTTGCACTCAAAATCATAAAGCTCTCTTGCTGCAGGAATGAGGAGGTCTGCTGAAGGTGCGTAGCTGTCGTGCAGTGAGGGGTTTGCGTCTTTAATAAACTGCGGCAGTTTGCGTTCACTGAACAGCAAGATTGATTAATAAATCCATATGAAACAGTCCCTAAAGTCACATCTCACTTTCAGTTTCGGGCTTTGGTGTGTTTTGCACTCACACTACTAGCGTACCCGCGCCTTTGCCCAAGTGAACCACGCTCAGGCCCACCTCTTCCAACCGGGCCAGGGCCAGCCAAGTGAACCGTGCTTGAGCCCGATTCAGCGCACTCACACTTCTCAAACGATCCGGGAAACGGGCCTGGGCACGGTACGGATGGCATAGTGCGAGTAGGCCCTAAAGCAGGGGTGGGCAAACTTGGTCCTGGAGGGCCGGTGTCCTGCATAGTTTAGCTCCAACTCTAATCAAAAACACTTGAACATGCCAATCAGTGTCTTCAAGATCACTAGAAATCTATAAGCAGGTGTGTTTGATTAGAGTTGGAGTTAAACTATGCAGGACACCGGCCCTCCAAGACCGGGTTTGCCCATACCTGCCCTAAAGTGTTTTTAATAATCAAATGTCTCTTTTTTTGTGCTTTTAGTAATCGATTTTTATATAGTTAATTGTTTTGTTGTTGCAGTCCTAATAGTCCTAATAGTATAATGGTTATTAATGGTCATATGCCTCCCCCTTCCCATAATTCTGCATTCATTCCTCTACAAAGTAAAATCATGTAAATTAGGTCCTCACTAATATCTACATCTACAAATATCAAAAGCACATTCGATTAATTTTTTAATATGCAGATCTGCTGGAATAAAAAAGTTTGTATACTGACAGATTAGGTAAATGAAGCATTCATGGAAAGAGATGTACATTAATTTAAAGAAAAATTGTTGAAGAAGTAAATACTCTAGGTCAGTGGTTCTCAAACTGTGGTACGTGTATGAAATGTCATGTACATGCTACATATATTTCAAAATTTATCAAAAATGATGTATATAATATGCCATATACAGTATGACTTATAGCCTATATTTTTGAAGTAATCTGCCACGTTTTTTTTTAACTGTGCAGAGTTGTAGCTGCTTTACTGGGCCTACCATGCTACTGTATTTCAATACTGCTCATTTTGGTGGTACTTGGGGAGAATTTTTTTTTCTGAGGTGGTACTTGATGAAAAAAGTTTGAGAACCACTGCTCTAAGTAAATGGATAGACTTTCCACATTCAGTCTCTTAACCCCTGTTTTTTGTGCTCCATTTAAGGCAAGTGTCCTGCTTTTCTGTGCATGTTTGTGTGTTTCTGAAGTTGTGACAGCTGTGTGAAACGCTTCAGACACTGCTGACATCGGTAGGGTTTCTCTCCAGTGTGAATCCTCTCATGACATTTTAGGTTTGGTAACTGAGTGAAGCTCTTGTCGCAGTGTGAACACTTGTACGGTTTCTCTCCACTGTGAATTACCTCATGTCTTTTCAGGTTTTGTACTTGAGTGAATCTCTTGTCGCAGTGTGAACACGTGTACGGTTTCTCTCCAGTGTGAATCACCTGGTGCTGTTTCAGTTGTCCAGCTGTAACAAACGTCTTCTCGCATTCAGAGCACACAAACTCTCTCACACCAGTGTGGATCTTCTGATGTTTTATCAAAGTTGACTGCAGCGAAAAACTCTTTTCACACACAGAACATGAATAAGGTTTCTCCTTTGTGTGAACTCTAAGATGGTCCTTCAGCTGCGCAGCCGACAAAAATGATTTGCCGCATTGATCACATTTGTGTGGTTTTTCTCCAGTGTGGATCATCATGTGTAGATTAAGGTTTAATGTATATCTGAATCTCTTCCCACACTGAGTGCATGCGAACGGCTTTTCTCCAGTGTGGATCATCATGTGTCGATTAAGGTGTGACGATTGTCTGAATTTCTTCCCACACTGAGTACACGTGAACGGTTTCTCTCCATTGTGGATCATCATGTGAATCCTAAAATAGCTTTTGCAATCAAAACTCTTCCCACACTGACTGCAGGTCAAACATTTCTTCCGTCTTCTTTTCTTTAAATCACTTCGTTCATCATCTTCGCTCTCCTCACTCTCTTTAACATCTGAAATCAAAGCAAATCATTTTAGCAAGTCTTTTAAAACTGGAGAGCAAAATATGAAGTGAAAAATACTGAACATTGTAGATAATCTCTCTCAAATTCAGTTTTGTAACATGTATTTAATATCAAATTCTGGTTAGAAACTGGAAAAGTATATCTGAACAAGATATAAAATAGATGCAAACATTTAACAGCTCGGTTTATATTTAGCTTGCCCTTAAAATAGTAAATGATTAGCATTCAAGTTTCACTCTCTATTTTCTAACCTACAGATATAAGCCCCTTTCACACAGTGATACCGGTAAATACCCAGACAATTTTCAGAATGTCTTTACCGGTAAATAAAAAAAAAAAAAGCTCCGTTCACACAGGCACGGACGTTCTGTAAATTTTCCGGAAAAGACCATTCACACATCCATTCCAAAATACCGGTAAATTCTGACATCATTAACCAGAAATGATCTATAAACGGTGTCGCTTGTATTTGTAAACATCGAAGAGTTATGGCTTTTCTTGATGCTAAAGTGTTAAATAAAAATGAAACCATTTATGCGGCTGCTTTGTAAGACACCTAAAGGCAGAAACGCGAACTGCAGCTACGTGTTAAAACGCTTGACAACATTACATGGTAAATTACATAGATGGATAAATATTGTGAACAACTTATATGAAAACATTTGGAGGAACACTTTCAGATGTCGAGATGTTCATAGTATGTGTGCGCTGGCATTTACCGGCTCCTTCACGTGCATATTAGAGCTGCACGATTCTGGCTAAAATGAGAATCTCGATTTTTTTGCTTAAAATAAAGATCAGGATTCTTTACGATTCTGTAGATGTAAAATAAAGGTATGGTAAAAACAAACAGATGGCACAACATTGATAATACTATTATGTGTAGGTCTACTGGTTTCTATAAAAAATTCTATTCTACTTATAATAATTCTGATGTTGAATTATTATGTTTGAGATATATGCTTGCAATCTGTCATATTAGACAATTTTATTCACTGGTAAAATCAGACATTTGCCATTATCAGATTATATTCAACATTATATAGGCTAGAGTAGTTATACTGACATTTATTTTCATGCACAACTGTGGGTTCGCTATGAAAGAAAAAACATATCAAATGCTTGTCGTAATCATAACTCTAAAATGCGATATGATCATTTAAATGAAGTGCACACTTTCGGTTTCATTTTGACTGCTAAGTACTGTTAATACTTCCCGCACGGCTCCCAAACGATCACTCTGTGCCACAAACTGAATATTATTTACAACTGTATTACCTGTTACTCGCAACATATGCAGGTTCTGTTCACTAAAGTAGACGCGCGCCTTTTCTGCTCACGGTCAGCAGGTCACGTCACGTGTGATTTCCCAGCCGCGAAAACATAATTATTTGGAGACAAAAATTGACATTTTTTTAGGTGAATAATACCTTATAAATACAGTATGTGACTCATTCAACATCATTTGGAGGTGTCAATGTCACTGAGCAACATATTTGAAACAAAGAAAAGACTCGACAAGCCGCCTTTTCTTCTCTCCTGAACTTGAAAATATGATTGGCAGAATCGTAGAAATGCAGAATTAAGATCATCTAGGGGGTCGAATCGAGATCGCGATTAATTGTGCAGCTCTAGTGCACATACGTCAAGCACAGCTTGAAGGTTAACGGACGGCGGTTTATCATAAGGATTTTATCGATATTTTTTACACAGTTGGCATTAAGAAGGAACAGAAACGTAATCTGACTAACATCTAGCAGCTAAATGTGTCTGGAAAAATGTTCAAAGGATATTAGGGCCTATTCACACTATGCTATCCAAACAGTGCTCTGAATCGGGCTCAGGCGCGGTTCACTTGGGCTTTGGCACGGTACGCTTGTGTGTGTGAGTGCAAAATGCACCTAAGCCCGAAACTGAAAGCGAGACGTGACTTTTAAGGGACCGTTTAATGTGGATTATTTAATCATTATTACTGTTCAGTGAACACAAACTGTAGTAATTTATTAATGACTCAAACGCCTCACTGAATCACAGCTGCGCACCTTTAGCAAACCTCCTAAGTACGAAGGCTTTATGATTGTTTATGAGCGTCAAAAGTGGCTGATTTGGTTAGCGAAATATTTGTCAGCACGCTCTAGACACAAACGCGCTCTTTCCGGCAAATTACCAGTAATGTTACAACCTTCTTTCCTGAAAATTGCCATTACAAATTTACCGATATTTTACAAAAGAGCCTGTTTACACATACAAAATTGCTACTCATTTTCCACAAAGGTCTGTATGTGTGAAAGGGGCAAGCGTCTACTACTTATTTTTTACATTTATAATTTTTTTAACGTATACTGCACAGAATAAACCAGTTCAAAGGTTTTTATCTTTAAAATTCATCAACATCGTTAATAAAGGGTCAGAAAAAAAACACCAACCTGTTTGTTCTTCGGTCTCTTCCTCATTAATTCTGCAGGGTTCTGGATCATTCATGTTCTCTCTGTCCTTGGTGCCTTCCCGATCAATTCTGCAGGGTTCTGAGTCACTCATGTTCTCTCTGTCATCGGTCTCTTCCTGTTTAACTCTGCACAGTTCTGGATCACTCATGCTCTTTCTGTCCTTCAATAAACTCTGCAATTTCACTTCAATCAGATGGGAATATTCCAGAATTTATAGCTGAACTAAAAGGAAGGAGGAGCTTCACTACAGGAGGAGGAGCTTAATAGATGGAAGAGATCTGCCAAGATTAAAGAGATTTCAGTTAATATTTTTCTCTTTAGTTAATATTTTCTTCTTTTACTTAACATTTTATGTTTGCTTCAATCAATCTTTCAATTTTTAATGCAACCAACTACAAAATCTTTTTTTTTTGTTATTATACTATCAAAAATTTAACTGGTTTTAATTGCAAAAAAATGACAAGTTGAACATATCAAACATCAATACAGGAATAGATAAGTATAAACCAAGAAATTTACAAATTGTTAAAAAAACAGACAACCCATCGACTGTGGGTAACAACTTAAAAATTATTTTATAAAAGAAAAAAACATAACACTTGGTATGGTAGTTATACATTTACTTTAGAAACGCATATAACGAGTTCAGAAGAAAAAAACCTCAAAGTGCCATCTGAAATTTTCTTCTACAGTGAGCATTTTTTTTTCAGATTCTTGTGTTTATGTTCAGTTATTTCATGTTAAAAGTGTTGAAAATAACCTTTTCTTTGCCATCAAAGTGAAATTACTGAATGAAAGTTGGCTTTATAATCGGATATTCAGACATTCTTCTTAATAATATAATTTTATTAAAGTATTCTTTGCAAATTGTAAATAGGGAAATCAGCCGCCAATGACTATCAAAGTACAACATTGTTCACAGTGAATTAGACAGTGTTAATGTTGTTTTCAAGTCATACTTGCATGCTAATTCTGATCGAATATTCATAATAACATGGTAAACAATATAGGGACTGCTAAATGAACGAATGTGCGAATATAAAACCAACTTTACCTCTATTGTGGGTGCTGATAGAGTTGTGGCACAAACTAAAGGCCTCTTTACTCGAGCAGATATAAACTGATATTTACTGTTGTTTGGTCCCAGTGATGCGCGAAGAGCCGACGACCAGGGCAGATGACACTGGAACTTGTCCAACTCTGTCAGAAGAAGCAACAATCGTCTTGAAACCAGATTTTTTTTTTATATGGAATGATTTAATGTTCGTGCTACGACTTTCAGTCTCGTTAGTCTCCCATCTGGCTGTAATGACCGATCTCAGTCGATAACAAACCAAAAGTAACTTGACTCAAGCTTGACGCGCGATGTCGAAAGTCTTCTATGAGGGAAAACTACACGTTAAACAAAAGTATAATAAAGAAAACAGCTATTAGCAATCTGCGTGTGGCCTCTGACGGATCCTGCATGTTTTTTGTACACTTTACGGCGCTTGATGTCCGTCATCGTTTTGTTGCATTACCGCCACCTTCAGCTCCGGAGTGTCAGCGATGAAGTACAGACTGATCGACACACCAGAGCTGAAGGTGGCGCACCGGAACGATGATAGATGTCAACCGCCGTAAACTGTAAGAAGAAGTAGGGTCTGTTGGAGACTCCTTTTTACTCTTTTCTTTATTATGCTTTTGTTTGAAGTGTAGTCTTCCTCTCTGAAGACTGTCGACGTCGCGCGCCAAGCTTCAAGTTGCTTTTGGTTAGTTATGGACTGAAATCGGTCATTGCGTCCAGACGGGTGACTAACAAATGACTGAAAGTCGTAGAAGAAGCTGGTTTCAAGACGATTGTTGGTTCTGCTGACACAGTTGTTCCAATGTCATCTGCCCTGGTCGTCGGGTCTTCGCATCACTGGGACCAAACAACAGTAAATATCTTTGTATCTGCTCGCTAGAGTTAAGCGGCGTTTAGTATTGAGGTAAAGTTGGGTGTATATTTGCACCTTCATTAAGAGACAACTTGTGTCATGCTCCATATATTGATAGAGGTAAAGTTGGTTTTATATTTGGATATTCAGACGTTCTCCTTAATAATGTAAGTAAGAAAAGTAATCTTTGCAAATTGTAAATAAGGAAATCAAATTAGCAGCAAATGACTATCAAAGTTCAGCATTGTTCATAGTGAATTAGATGAGTGTTAATGTTGTTTACAAGTCATACTTGCATGCTAATTCCGATCGAATATTCATAATACCATGGTAAACAACACACGAATGAGCGAATATAAAACCAACTTTACCTCTATCATGTATTGTTTACCATGGTATTTTTAATATTTGGTCTGAAATCACATGTAAGTATAACTTGAGAACAACATTAGCACTATTTATTTGACTGTGAACAATGTTGTACTTTGATGTCTGCATTTGTTGCTAACTTGATTTTACTATTTATCATTTGCGAAGAATACTTTTCTGAAATTATATTATTATGGAGAAACTCAGAATGTGTGAATATAAAACCAACTTTACCCCATTACATTTTTTGAATTGGTTGGTTTTATATTTGGATATTCAGACTTTCTCCTTAATAATATAATTTCAGAAAAGTATTCTTTGTAAATAGGGAAGTCATATTAGCAGCCAGTGACTATTAAAGTACAACATTGTTCACAGTGATATAGATAGTGTTAATGTTGTTTTAAAGTCATACTTGCATGCTAATTCCGATCGAATATTCAAAGTAACATGGTAAACAATATAGAGACTTCTAAATGAACGAATGTGCGAATCTAATACCAACTTTACCACTAGAATGTTGTATGTGATGAATCATATACAAATGATCTGTTTCAAAAAGGTTTTAATCATTTATATAATTAAAAAAAGGGATAACATCTCATTTGAACACATATTAGTGATATTCTTCATAAATGACGTAAAAAATTCTATTGTGATAAGCGTGTTTATCAGCTGTTTTAAAATGCAGTTATGAATAATTGAAAGTCATGATGATTGATCTGACATCGGCCTTTTTACATTCTGTTTTAATATTTTATAAAATGAGAAAGTCTGAATATAAAACCAACTCTAAACTATGTTTCCTCACCGACAGGTTTTGTGAAATCGCCAAAATTTGTGCTCATTCAAGCAGCCGACAACCACACAGCATTATCAAAGACACATTGAGGTACAGTTGGTTTTAAATTCACCCATTCTGACTTTCTCCTTAAATATAGTTTGATAAAAGTATTCTTTGCTAATTTTAAATTGTGAAATCATATTAGCAGACTATAAAAGTACAGTATTGTTCACAGTCATTAAAATAGTGCTAATATATTTTTTAAGTCACGCTTGCATGCGATTTCAGATTGAATATTTAAAGTAGCGCGTCACAAGTTGTCTCTTCATAAAAACAAACGAATGTATAAATGTAAAACCTAATTTACCTCAATCAAAGACACAATCTGATCTGCAGACGCCTGTGAAATATTTGGCATGCTAAATAAATGTAACCTTGATATCTTTAATATTGACTGAGATAGGCCATGTTAGATTTTTTTTTAATTAGACAATAGAACTAGACCTGTCACAATAATCAATATATTGACTTGTCACACAACTCATTGAGATGACCCTAATCATTTTTAGTGACGCAGTATACATTGCAGATACTTAAAAAACAATTCTGGCAACATTTTAGCTGATTGCACAACATCTCTAACTCTATGGAGGTGTCATCCCTGCAGAAAAATCCAGCTTAAACCAGCCTAGGCTTGTTGGTTGGTTTTAGCTGGTCGACCAGGCTGGTTTAGAGGGGTTTTGGTCATTTCCAGGCTGGTTTCCAGCCATTTCCAGCCTGGTCTTAGCTGGTCAGGCTGGAAACTGACCAGCTAAAACCAGCTTGACCAGCCTGGTTTAAGCTGGACATAGCTGGTTTTGGCTGGGCTCCCAGACTATATATTTATATATATATATATATACAGAGTTGAAGTCAGAATTATTAGCCCTCTTTTAATTTTTTTTCTTTTTTTAAATATTTCCTAAATGATGTTTAACAGAGCAAGGAAATCACAGTATGTCTGATAATATTTTTTCTTTTAGAAAAAAAGTCTTATTTGTTTTATTTTGGCTAGAATAAAAGCAGTTTTGAATTTAAAAAAAAAAACTATTTTGGGACTAAATTATTAGCCCTTTAAGCTAAAAAAATTTTCTATAATCTACAGAACAAACCATCGTTATAGAATAACTTGCCTAATTACCCTATCCTGCCTAGTTAACCTTTTTAACCTAGTTAAGCCTTTAAATGTCACTTTAAGCTGTATAGAAGTGTCTTGAAAAATATCTAGTCAAATATTATTTACTGTCATCATGGCAAAGATAAAATAAATCAGTTATTAGAAATAGGTTTTTAAAACTATTATGCTTAAAAATGTGTTGAAACAATCTTCCCTCCATTAAACAGAAATTGGGGAAAAAAATAAACAGGGGCGCTATTAATTCAGGGGGGCAAATAATTCTGACTTCAACTGTATACACACACACACAGAGCAAGAACAAACATTGACTCTTACTTTAGACAAACAAAAGACAATATAAAAGTAAACAACAAAGAAAAGAGACAAAATAAACAACAACAAAAAAAAACACTCATAGTCTCAAAACATACAATCAAAACTAGAGAGCGTGTATAGCTTAAACCTCAGAGGGGTCAGTGGATTGCTCTTGAGATGTAGATTCGTCAAATAAATTTTCTCGTGGAGCTAGTCCGTAAATGTAGCCAGTTTCTTGAGGGACAAATAATTCGTTTTGAAAAATTTAAAATAGCTTTTATTTCAGCTAAAGAAACAAAAGACTTTCCCCAGAAGAAAAAAAGACTAATAGGAACTACTGTGAAAATGTCTTTGGCCTGTTAAACATCACTTGGAAATAAAGTGAATCTGTTACTATTAAACAAGCATTTTTTTTCCTTCTACAAAACACAAAAAGTTGATTGTTTACCTGTATATTGATATTTGATATGTGGTTATATGTTTTTTTTTTTTTTTGCAAAATAAGTTGGAATTCTGATAGTATAATAACAACAAGATTTTGTAATTAGTTGTATTAAAAATTAAGTTTTAATTTAAGTGAACAAATATGTTAATTAGAAGAAAATGTTAACTGAAATATTTTTAGTCTTGGCAGATCCTCTCTTCAATTTATAAAGCTCCTCCTCCTGTAGTGAAGCTCCTCCTTCCTTTCAGTCCAGCTATAAAATACTGGAATATTCCCATCTGAATGAAGTGAAATCTACAAAGAGAGTTTATTGAAGGACAGAAAGAACATGAGTGATCCAAAACCCTGCAAAATTAAACAGGAAGAGACCGATGACCGACAGAACATGAATGATCCAGAACCCTGCGGAATTAAACAGGAAGAGACCGATGACCGAGAGCACATGAATGATCCTGAAACTTGCGGAATTAAACAGGAAGAGACTGAGGACACAGAGAACATGAGTGATCCAGAACTTAAAGAGGAAGAGACTGAAGAACAAACAGGTTGGTGTTTATATCTAATCCTGTATTAATGATGTTGATTAATTTTAAGGATAAAAACCTTTAATGGATCATCTTATTTATTCTGTGCAGTATACATTAAACAGATTACAAATGTAAAAAAAATAATAAATAATAGACTGTAGGTTAGAAAATAGAGAATGAAACTTAATTAATAAACATTTACTATTATGAGGACAAACTAAATAACAGCTGAGCTGTTAAATGTTTGCATTTGTTTTACATCTTGTTCAGATGTTTTTTTTAATCATCTTACCAGAATTTGATATTAAATGCATGCTACAAACCTGACATTGAATTTGAGAAAACAATTCGTAAAAAAGTCTCAAAATTAAAGTTTGAGTGTCTACAATATTCCCTGTTTCTTTTCACTTCATAATTTGTTCCAGTTTTTAAAAAAAACTTGCTAAAGTTATTTACTGTGCTTTCAGACTTAAACGAGAGTGAGGAGAGCGAATACGATGAACGAAAGGATTTAAAGAAAAGGAGACGGAAGAAATGTTTGACCTGCAGTCAGACTTTTGTTACTGCTGGACAACTGAAACGGCACCAGGTGATTCACGCAGGAGAGACAAAATACACGTGTTCACACTGCGGCAAGGCATTCACTCAAGTACAAAACCTGAAAAGACATGAGAGGATTCACACTGGAGAGAAACCGTACAAGTGCTCACACTGCGACAAGAGCTTCACCCAGTTACCAAACCTAAAATGTCATGAGAGGATTCACACTGGAGAGAAACCCTACAGATGTCAGCAGTGTCTGAAGCGTTTCACACAGCTGTCACAACTTCAGAAACACACAAACATGCACAGAAAAGCAGGACACGTAATTTAAATGGAGCACTAAAAGATCTCATGTGGAACTGAGGTTTAATAAGAGGCTGAATGTGAAGTCTATCCATTCTCTTTGAGTATTTGCTTCTTTTACCATTTCTTTAATTTGATCTTCATCTCTTTCCATTTACCTAATATGTCAGGATACATTTTTTTATTTAAGCAGATCTGCATATTAAAAATTGAATTGAATTGCGTAGATGTGCTTTTGATATTGGTGCATGTAGATGCTTTTGATATTGGTAGAGACCTAATTTACATGATTTTCCTCTTGGAGGAATGAATGCAGACTTCTGGGAGGGGGAAAGCATATGACCATTAATAATCAGTATTTACCATTATAATAGCCATTTTATCTCGATTGTTGTTTGTCATAATTGTTGTGGAGGCCAAAATTGAAACTAAACTTTGATTAATTGCATAGAAATGGCAGGCGCTATCAAAGCACAGAGGGAGAAAATGTGGCGATGTTGTGATAAACAACAGCAGTTCACTGAATTCTCAAAACAAAATTGTTTAGAACTTTGGTTATGAAATAAATAGTTAAATGACAAATAGTTCAGCTTGGAGTTAAAATAAAAAATAAATAAAAAGTGTTAAAGCTGATTTAACACTTGTGCGTCAAACACCGGCCTATTCTATGGCGCTGACGCATAGCCCTTCGCCGTGGCCGTCGGAGTCGCTGACGTGCACCTCTGAAAAAATGTAACTACACGCCGCAACGTGTAGCTCTGTGATTGGTCGGCTTGGTAGCGCTGACGAGTCTGGGCGGGACCGAGAGCCGCGTGAATGGTGCGAGCCTGATGGAGCGATTGTTTACAAGTGTGGAGTCCCGTGAAGGAGCTCCGGATGGAAAGTTTTGTTTTGTGTTTACCTCATAGTTAAAGTTGTTGCACGTCCGCCGGTTCCTGCCTCAAAATGAGCGAGTTTGAGCCACTTGTACATCCAGGAAGTGTTCAGGAAAAGCAAAACAGCAGCGAAGAAACTCGACACAGAGGAACATTTACACCTCACTGCCAACTAGCGTTTCGGAAGTGTTAATGCAGACCGACAGAGACAGCGCGCAGAAGTATAAATGCACAGCTACGCGCGTTGCATGCGCCGTGGGTTACGCCGGTCAGTTGACGCAGAAGTATAAACCAGGCTTTAATGTTTAGATCTTCAGGCAGGCATTTTAAGATATACAAGCTCAGATGCTGTCAATAAATATGTAAGTTGGCTCTTTTTTGTATGATAATTCTTCATCAATGAGCAAGAATAACCCATAATGTCTCGTATTCAGTATGAAGTGACACTTTTAAGTAAACTACTTGTTACTTAATTTCGCAAACAGTAATTTTTGGGTAAAGTATCGGTATCGCCAATACTCACCTTCATTTTACTTGGTATCGGATCGGATTGAAAACCAGTGGTATCGCACATCACTAATATTTGCCTTAATAAGACAATATCCATGTTTCCTGCAGAGTTTCATGTAATTTTGGGTGTTTCATCTTTCAGTTTTCGAATTCAACTGCAGTTTCACTTTCAATCATGAACATTTCATTCAAGGCCTCGTGACAAACTACGGTATTTGATGCGAATATGAAGTAGGGACTGGTGGAAGAGTGTTGTTTTAATGGAATTTGGTACTGCAGTCTAAATGTAAAGGAAAAAAAAACTTCTGCATTTCGTGATGTGTGTATCTTGTCACAAAATACGGCGAAAAGTCCTACGTGATGGTAATAGTTTGATTGTGGTGTTTACTTCAATTATGCCACTAATATATGCATACTTCACATGTCTTAATTCCATTTCTGTTTAGTTAAATTATTACTTTAGTCGGATTAGGGTAATCAAAAATGTTTACATGGTAGACTCTTAATCAGAGTATTGTCTTAATCATATTAAAATCGTATTGTTACCCATGTAAACATACTCAATTTTTACCTTTACAATTAGCTAACTACAGTAGCTATTATATCGATCTACCTACAAATCTTTGCACAAATAAAGAAAATTATTCAAATCATACCTCAATGAAAAAGCCATTTTTTTAAAAGCTTGTTCCTTATTTACAAAGTAAGGTTCAACCAACGCTAAGGATTTTTTCCTACTGGGCCGATCGGGCCAGTGTTTGAGATTTTTACTTGCCCTGACAAAGTTTTTCTGGCCCCACCAAAATAATAAAAAGTTAATAGCTATTTCTTAGCCACATATTTTAAATGATGTGGCAAAATAATGTCTGTGAATCTAGAATTTGAACATTTTAAAAATGTTCATAAATGTTTTATGCAAACGAAAGAGCAGTGTGCAAAATGTGCTGCTATTATATTTCAATTTTAAATTATTTTTTTAATCTGGATTGCCAAACTGACGACTTTTTTTGTACCCATGCAATTATCTGCTTCCAAGAGATATTATTTTTAAAAAAAATTAGGAAAAAAAAATAATGTGCTTATCGTTACTGACCTACAGTGGCCAGTGACAATTCTGTCTACTGTCCTGAGCGTCTTTCACGCTGGCCATGGGCCACTGTGCAGTCCTTATTGTTGACTCCTGCAAAGTATATATAGTAGTAGTCTAGAGCATATGGTTCTCAAAGTGGGGGGCGGGACCCCCCGAGGGGTCGTGGGACAATGAAGGGGGGTCGCCTGGTGGTTTCCAAAAATCTATTTTTATTAAACCATAAGAATTACCATATTTTATCCATAACCTTCTGAAGAGAAAAAAAATAGTCGTTTATACCATAGTTACTATAGTAGCTTATAGTTACTACTTCTATTGGATTGCAACCCCTGGGGTAATTGCATTGTATTAAAGACACAGCAATAGCGTCAGATGCAGCAGATTTCATAACACCTGGTTAAACTTTGTGGCCCATTTACAGCTCTCATACATAAAAAAAAATTAAAAGAAGACTAGACTTGGGTCCATTGGTGTGTGTGTGCCATTGCATGCAAGGTTTCTGCATTTATAACCACCTCAGAGGATATTGGGAGGGTCACGAGTCACTGGCATTGTCATTTTGGGGGCCTGAAAAGTTTGGGAACCCCTGGTCTAGAGCAGTGGTTCTCAAACTTTATTTTTTACCAAGTACCACCTCAGAAAAAAATTGTCTCTCCAAGTACCACCAAAGACCAGCATTGAAATAGAGTAGCAAAGTAGGCCTAATTAAGCAGCTACAGCTAAGCACAGTTAAAAAAAAAGAGGCAGATTAATTCCTATTATTAAGTATATTTATTATTGTCAGCCACTTTGAACATTATAAATAGTTTGAACATTAACACTGCACTGTGCTTACAAGTAAAAAATAAATAAAATGTCAACATTTTAATTAAAATGTGCTTTTAAAAGATAATAAAAAATGACACTGTTCTTAAAAAGTAAACACAAAACTGCTGTACTTAAATGTAAAGCATTAACAAATAGTAGTAGCCTATTCATCAAAATCTGGAAATGTTCATTGGACCTCAATAATATAGGCTTTATTTGTTTGATTTACATAGTTAAATTAGAACTGCTTACTGCACGATAGAGTAGGCTATTTGTGTTGGATGTAAATATATGGCATACATCCCCAATAACCGTTACAAATATGGGGAGATTGACTTCAAATCATAGAATACATAACTAATATTAGAATATTGAAAATAAAACAAAAGGTTTAGCCTATTACAATCAATTTACTGATCACATTGGTGTTATCGTACGCATCAAAGAGTTAAAAGTGTGTTCATTTTTTAACTTCAATTATTCAGCTAATCCTCCGCGTACCACTAGTAGTACACGCACCAGTTTGAGAACCACTTGTCTAGAGGCTGCGTGTGTTAAATTAACTATGTGTGTGACATAATATACAAACATTTGTGGTGATTCAAATCAGGGAAAAGCAGTTTTACCTTGCTAAATAATAAAAAAAAATCCACTCAAGCACAGATACTGACTTTATTTTAATTAAGCTGATACCACAATTCACACATTACCATCTGGCTAGTTTGTTTCCTCTACCTATATGCTAAAAAGGTAATAATGGTCCTGCATTGCAGATCATTGTTTGTGTTCTCTACTCGTATGCTAAAAAGGCAATCATGGTCCAACATTCCAGACCATTATCACCTATAAAGCCCTAAAATAACAGGGCATCATTACCAGTAGGTAAACTTGAAATCTGCACGCACTGAATTCAGCAGATTTTAAGTTCATCATTAATTCGGTTTATTTACTTGTGTAAATTTATAGTTAATTAATTTCAGTAACAATTCAGTAAAAAAAAGTATTAATTTCTGCCTTTAATAGATATTTTGAGACTTGCTTTGTTTACCTAAAAAGTGAATCTAATTGGATTTGCATTGGAAACATTAAACAAGTTTAAAAAGGTATCTATTTTTTTTTCATACATGAAGTTTTAGGTATGATACTCCCAAAATCATTTCGCATAAAGCTTTAACAAAATTCTGCACTGAAATATTACAAAATGTCTGCAGATTCTGCCTGGGCCTAGATTCAGATATTTCTTTAAAGTTATCAAAAGTACTTTAATTATAGTTTTGTAACTATTAAATGGTTTTAAATTCAGAATTGTTATATATATATATATATATATATATTATCCCTTATGCCCAATGTTGACCGGTATGGCTTTGAGGGCCCAGAAAAGCGCTATATAAATGTAAGGAATTATTATTATTCTGTTGTCAAGAAGCTGCATAAATAATAAATGTCTCTGTAATTGGGTAGACATGATATGGTTTTATTTTGGAAAAATTAACTATCTAGAGGCCTTTGCCTTTCATATAAGCCACTTCTGTTTCCAAAATCAAGTGGTAGTCAAGTTAATATTTATTATAGGCGACAAGGCTTTTGCCAGGTAGTGTATTAAAAAGAATCTTGATCCTGCGCAGGTAACAATGAAGAGGCACTTAAACGCAGACATACTATTACTTAAACTGGTGTGTTATGTTTTGTTTTTCCATCATGTTAATAAACTGCTGTACAGAGTATAGTGTTTGCATGTCTCTTGACCCAGTAAATAAATCCGTGTTAATGTTGTTGATGTTGCAGTGACCTACAAAGCACTTAACTCACTTCTGGAGGATCTGCTTTGCTCAGATCAGCACAAAAGGCATTTCTCATGCCACGTTGTCATGTCATTAATCTTTTTGCAGATCTGTCCATCAGCCAATAAGAAACAGCCACAAAAGTGGAATTTGTAGCTGAGGCCATGAGATTTATCTTCAGTATTATTGAAGATTAATGATGACAATAAACAATAACCCCAACTGCAAAAAAGCCTTTAATGTGCTTGTCCTTTCCCGCTTCATTTTTTCTTCTCTCCATGGGATTCTATATTATCTTAAACTTACAAAGCCAAGAATAACAAGATTAACTTTATTATAGAACTAAAAAAGTCTTGCCTGATGGCTAACAGTCTGTGCACATTAAACCGTCTTCCCTGATCGCCACTATAATGCTTGAAGTATATCTGCAAAGATTTGAATGCAAGTTTAAATCATTTCTTTCAGCAATATTCTCAGTATCACCAAATAAATTTAGTAAAACAGAGAAAAACACCAAACAAATCCAAGACACAAAGGGTTTT